AGGGCGGCCCGGCGCCCGCCGCTCGCCAGGCGTTGGGCCCTGCGTGCGGCTCAGGCTCCGAGCGCGTCCCTGGCCCCACCCGGCCCTCCAGCCTAGAGAACAGGCGCAATTCCACTGAGAGAAGGCCGCTCAGTTCCCGTCCGCCTGTGGTGCGCTCCTCGTTCTACCCGAGGCGGGGTTCTTCCTCGCAGCACAGAGCCGCCCTTCGCTTCTGGCCGTCCCACTTCTTTCCCTGAGGAAAGTCTCTCGGGACCGCTCGGAGAATTTAAAAGCGAGGACCACAGAATGCAAGAACTGGGCAGGGCTGAGAGGAGGCTTTTAACTTGTCCGTGAACCCTCGCGGGAGTCCCTTTGTGTCTCAAAGGCCGCAGAGTCACTCTGCGGGCATGTTGTCTGAATTTGGGTGCCTCGAGTTTCTGGGATCTACCTAGGAGACTGCGAAGAAATCCAACACGTCTCTCCCTGTGAATGCATCACAGAGAAACCTCTATTTCAAAAATGTTCACGGGGTTTCCTTTCTCCTTCCCCTTGTGGTAAAATATACGTAACGTAAAACTTGACTTAGTTTTAACCATTTTTAAGTGTATGATTCTGTAGCATTAAGTACATTCACACTGTTGTGCAATCATCACCACCCCACGTCCCCACAGCCTTTTCATCTCCCCAAACCCAAACCTTATTCATCAAACACTAACTCCTCATTTCTCTCCATCCAGCCCCTGGCAACCTCCATTCCACTTTCTGTGTCTATGAATTTAACTGCTCCAGACCCCTCCTGTTAGTGGAATCATATATTTGTCCTTTTGTGACTAGCCTATTCACTTAGCATAATGTCTTCAAGGTTCACCCACCTTGTACCGTGTGTCAGAATAGTATTCCCTTGTACGATACAACCTTCTGTTTATCCATTCCTGTCCGTGGACTTGTTCCATCCAAGGTTTGCTTCTACTTTTTGACTGTTGTGAATCATGCTGCTATGAACATGGATGTACAAATATCTGTCTGAAACCCTGCTTCCAGTTCTTTTGAGTATATGCCCAGAAATAGAATTGCTGGATCACGTGGTAATTCTAGGTTTCATTTTTTGAGGAACGGCCGTACGATTCTCCTCCTTTGCCTTTTTGCTGCATATGAACATTGTGGGCAGAAAGCTCTCTGGTAAAATATCAATATTCTGGGTTTTGACAAAATTGTTAACAAATGCTTCATTTGTCTGTAAAACAGTGAATTTTCTTCCTAAGAATAAGTAATTGACATTGCAAATTTATTGCCTTTATTTTTGAAGATACTGTTACTATTCCGTTAACCACAATTTTGTGTTTTCCACATATACTTTCTAATGTTTCTTGGACAGAGTCAAGTATGTCATACGAAATCAGGATTAAATAGAAATTGAGCATTTAATTTTAAAATTTTTATTTATTTATGTATTTATTTATTTTATTTTAAAGATTTTATTTATTTATTTGAGAGAGAGAGAATGAGAGAGAGCACATGAGAGCGGGGAGGGTCAGAGGGAGAAGCAGACTCGATCCTGGGACTCCAGGATCATGACCTGAGCCAAAGGCAGTCGCCCAACCAACTGAGCCACCCAGGCGCCCTATTTATGTATTTATTTATTTGAGAGAGAAAGGGAGCCTGCACATGCAGGGGCAGGGGCAGGAGCAGCAGGGGAGGGAGAGGGGAGAGGGAGAGAGAGAGCTTGAGCAGATTCTGCCAGAGAGCGAGCCCCAGGAGGGGCTTGATTTCACCACCAAGATCATGACCCAAGGGGAATCCAAGAGTGGGTCGCTTAACAAACTGAGCCACCCAGGTGCCCCTCAAGCATTTCATTTTTTTTTTTTAAGATTTATTTATTTCAGAGAGAGAGAGAGTGCACGGGCAGAGGGAGAGGGAGAGTGAGAGGGAGAGAGAGTCTGATGTAGGCTCCATGAAGCATGGAGCCCAGAGCCCACCCAGGGCTGGATCCCAGGACCCCAGGTCACCACCTGAGCAGAAACCAAAAGTCGGAAGCCCAACCAACTGCACCACCCAGGTGCCCCAAGCATTTCATTTAAAAAAGAAGATAATTTTGAGTGTCTTAACATACACTCAAATCAACCTGAATTTTTTTTTAAGGTTTTATTTTTTATTTGAGAGAGAGAGAGCACAAGTGGGGGAGGGCAGGGTTAGGGAGGGCTGAGGGAGAGAGAGAGAAGCAGACTCCCTGCTAAGCAGGGAGCTCAGTGGTGGGTGGAGTGAGATGGGGGGGTGGCAGTTTTCCATCCCAGGACCCTGGGATCATGACCTGAGCCAGAGGCAGACACTTAACCAACTGAGCCACCCAGATGGCCCTGAACGTTTTTTCTTTTACCTGGAACAATTTCAGAAGGATCTGTTGACTGAATCTGAATCTTTGGAGGAAGCTTCCATACTGACTACACTGAAGTTTAAGAACCACTACCCTAGGGCATTGCAAAGATTCTAAATCATTAAGGATAAAATAATATTTTTTCACTCATCGACCAAGATTCACTATATATTTGTGATGGACAGGCATTGCGCTATATGTTTGGGATTCAGCCTGAATAAGACAGGCAACCAGACTCCTGCCCTCATGGAGCTCACATTCTAGAGTGTGGTGACAAACAATACATAAATAAACAAATGATAAGCCAAATAATGACAGGGTGTGGTGAACGCTGTGAAGTAAATAAACTAGGTGGTGTGATAGATTAAATCATAGAGAATGAAGCCCTAGTGCCACTGTATTGTAATGAATTAACTTCTCTCCTGTGCAACAAGGAGTGGTACAAGTTATATACAGTTTTTGAGGGAACTGGGAAAATAATTTCTGTGTTCTGTGGTTGAGATGAGGATCTGGTCTGATAAGGTGCTAGGTAAGCGGTGGGAAGCTTCTTTGAATATAGTAGTGGTCAGGGAAGTCCCTGGGGATGTAACATTTGCTTGCAATCTAAAGGATGAGAAAGAATCAGATATTTAAGAGCTGAGGAAGTGACTTTCAGGTAGGAGAAACAGAAGGTGCAAGATCCTTGAAGTGGAAAACAACTTGGTAAGTTTCAGAATCAGAGAAGGAGCCGCCACAAGCAAGAGAGCAAGTATTATGGCATGAAACTGGAAAACAGACAGGGATGAAGATCATCCTGGTCCTGGTGGGTCTTAGTAAAGAATTTAAATTTCATTTTCAATGTATTGATACATTATAAAATATCCTAAATTTTAGGAGACTAGAATGAAAAGGATCAATGTAGACAAATGTGTGTGGAACTTTTTTGTTGGCAATAATGACAATATCCATGTGTGTAATATTAAAATAAAAAAGCTTGACTAGGGGGCGCCTGGGTGGCTCAGTCAGTTAGGTGTCTGCCTTCAGCTCAGGTTGTGATCCCTGCTCAGTGGGGAGCCTGCTTTTCGCTCTGCCTCTCCCCCTGCTTGTGCTCTCTCTCTCTCTCTCTGAAATAAATAAAATCTTAAAAATAAATAAATACATAAATAAAAAGAAAAAGCTTGACTGGCTTTTTTCCTGGATAATCCTTAAAAGCAAAACAGAGAATGAATGGTTCAATTGCTGCGCATTTTGGTTAATCTCATTGATCAAAACTATTCAGTTGTGTCGTTTTGTTTTTTCTTGTCTTGTTTTGTTTTGTGTCGTTTAGAGAGGGGTGGAGAGAGAGAATATTAAACAGGCTGCATGCCCAGCACGGAGCCCAACATGGGGCTCGATCTTACAACCCTGAGATCATGACCTGAGCCAAAATCAAGAGTCAGACACTTAACCAACTGAACCACCCAGGTGCCCCTAGTTTTGTTGTTTTTTGATCTGTCATGTCTGAACATGAACCTGTCAAGACCTACAGCATCTGAAGTATCTGTTACTGCTGTGATGGACTGTATCACTAACAGTTTGGCATGGCTCGGCCCCAAATCAAAGCCAACTCCCCCTGGCTTCCCTCTGGAATGTGTCACATCCCAGACGCAAGCTGTTGCTAGTGATGGCAAGCTGATGAAAGCAGCAAGCTGCTGAAACTAAACTAAGTTGGCCTTACTCATGGTGCAAGTCATCTGTTCATCTTTGAATAGCCAGGGGTCCAGCACTAAAAAAAAAAAAAGTGCAAATAAAATAATATATTCCTATTCCTATTATTAAAGATGATGTAGTTTTTGAATGTTGGTGAAGTCGTGAGCCAATGGCCAAGAAGGAATTCCTGAGACGTCTTTGGTGCAAAAAGCACCAATATATATTGATTTTATTAAAGCACGGGGACAGGACCAGTGGGAAGAAAGAGAAGCTGCACTGGGGTCATGGGGAGTGACCCATTATATACTTTCAAGCTGGGAGGGGGTTAGGGGTAGTAGAAGCCTCCCAAGTATTTTGGAAACAAGGTTTCCAGGATCCTGAGGGGGCTAGCTAGTGTTAGGAAAAGGTCATTTATTACTGTTCACTAAAAACTCAGTCATGATGCTCTTCAGATGTCTATCAGTGGGTCATAAACTTGGAGGATGATTGCTAACATGTATCTTGGGGGGTAGAGATAAAGTTTCCAAAGGAATTTTTTTTTAAAGATTTTATTTGACAGAGAGAGGGGGCAGGAGGGAGCACGAGCAGGGGGCAGCATCAGGCAGTGGGAGAGGGAGAAGCAGGCTCCCCTCTGAGCAGAGAGCTCCAACGATGAGGGGCTCGGTCCCAGGACCCCAGATCATGACCTAAGCCGAAGGCAGATGCTTAACCAATGAGCCACCCAGGCACCCCAAAGGAATTTTTTATGTTAAAGTAGACTTACAGGATCCTGGGGATTGGGCTAAGATTGCCTTTTGCCCTTAGCAAAGTATTAACATCGAGGCAGCTGAGTTCCTAGAGGAATGTCATTCTGCCTGTTTCAAGGACTTGTCAGTGGGCTATAAGCAGTAAGGAAATTTAATAATTTTTCTTCTGCCTTTGTTTCCCACATCTAAGATGTGTTTTATTGTCTTCAAGAGAGAATATAGAAGGCATAGATTTGCATTCTAAGATGTCAGGGAAGGAAGAAACATCACTTGGAAATATTATTAATCTTTCATCAAAATGGTGCCAGAATACGCCAGGACTCAGGTTGGATGGAGGAAGGAAGGGCTGGGGAGGTGTGCTCTCTTGGAGGAGTCGGGCTGATTCTGGAGGCAGGGCATCTGTCTAGTGCTAGGACCCGGCCAATTCCTATAAGAAGACATCAGAGGCCATTTGTTTCAATTTAGGCATAGACCCCAGTGGGTAAGAGTAAAGCCAATCCCTGGTTTGTTCTTCCTAGAAGAGAAAGACCTTGTAAGGAAACTTCTGAGTTCTAAGAAAAGACCTTATCATGTTTATCTTCAGGGCTCTTCTTATATATTGATAGTGTTCCCTACCGGCTCCTTCTCTTCCTATCTATTTGCAAAAGCTTGAAATTGGTTTAATGAGGAATAAAGAATCCTTTATAATTGGAAGTAAAAATCAAATAGGTAAACAAGTCTACCTTAAAATACAAGTACCTAGTTGAGGTAATACTTTGGGAAAAAACTCATTCTTTTGTATATCCATCAAGATATATCTAAGTGATATTATTCTATCTTTTACTATTTTCATGAGAAGACAAGAAAGAAGGTATCTGGGGATCTGGAAGGAGAGAGTGGAAGGGAAAGGGAAGCTGAAAAACTGAAGACAATTTTATTTTATTATTTTTTAAAGATTTATTTATTTATTTATTTATTTGAGAGAGAGAGTGTTGGGGGGGGCACAGGGAGAGGGAAAGAGAATCTCAAGCAGCCTCCCTGCTGAGCATGGAGCCTGACGGGGGTGGGGGGGCCTCCATCTCAGGACCCTGAGATCAAGACCTGAGCAGAAATCAAGAGTCGGACACTTAATTGACTGAGCCACCCAGGTGCCCCATGAAGACAATTTTATAGTAAATGTTTATTGAGACTTGGCCTTCAGTTAAGAGCTTATCATACGTTATCTTTTTTTTTCTTCTATTGGT